CACCACGTCGCCGACTTTTAAACCCATACATTCCGCCAAACTTCCCTCTGTGACCTGAGCAAATGGTTTTTCAAATGTTTCAATTTCCATTTCTGGCTCGATGAAACTAATTTTAACGGAACATTTGCGTTGATCGTGTTCTTCGAATTATAGGAAAATTTATGTAATCGACGAATAAAATTTTCATTTTTCATACACACTACCATAAATATTCGTATTGGATCGCATTCATAGATCTTTTGATCGTCTTACGATAGATGATAAAGTCAATCGGTTTAATCAAAATATTCGAGCGGATCTCTTAAACGTATAAATTTTGTACGACAAATATGAGGGACAAGGAGGGCGAATAGTGGAAGAAGGACAAAGATAAATTAAAAATGTGGGGAATCAGCGCCATCTCGACATATCGCAGATGAAATAAATGTGAACAAGGAAAGCGAATGATAGGAAAGAGATAGAGAGAGCGTAAAAATATTGAAATCAGCGCCATCTCCAGAGTGCCGCAAATGAAACGCGTAAAGAAAGGATAGCAAATAATAGAAAAAGGATAGAGATATGGTAAGAATTGACTAACAACGCCATCTCTTGAAAATTTTCTGAAAACACGTCTTTTTTAGAATTCAAAAGATGGCGCTAGTTCACAATTCTTACTCTATTTTGTTCTGCCATTTAGAGGTATCTTTAATAATCAAGAGATGGCGTTGATAGTTAATTCTTGTCCTATCTCTATCCTTTTTTCATTATTTGCTATCCTTTCTTTACGCGTTTCATTTGCGGCACTCTGGAGATGGCGTTGATTTCAATATTTTTACTTTATCTCTGTCCTTCTCCCATTATTTTCTCCTTGTCTATACAGGTTCTTGATACGTGACCGCTTGATACGAGGTATGGGATATCAATTAAATACTTTCGTTATTTCTCTTTCAAAATTACAACGTGTCTCGATCTTTAATATAAAAAGATATGAATGATATATTTCTCAACTTTACAATTTATAACTCTATAACATGATGAACTTTCAAAATATATCGTATGCTTGCTAGAAAACTGACGTAATTCGAAATTAATGTTTATTGAATTATTGCTACGGAAAAAATTATAATTATTTATTATTATTTTTTATTAACAGAATCCTAAGTAAGCGATTTTTTTGTGAAACTGTGAACGCAACGTGGTATTTTAATAATATGATATTCTTATATATTTTGCATTCTTATAAATCAAATCATTCAAAATCGTTTCCTCAATAAAATTATAATTTTTTATAAATTGTATGATTTTTCTAGCAAATATGCAATATGTTGTGAAGCATACTAGTGATATTTAATCAAATAAATATTTGTAATTTAATATTTAATTTCAATTCCATATCTACGTTATATTCTTATGTGTGATCATATCTGTCATATCATATAACTCGTTTATTATTATTAATTAGATCATTGCGATTTTAATAAATCGATAATACAGAAATTGCTATGATTAATCATATCGACGTATATATCTGAAAGTAAGTAGCCTGCAGATATGCAATCCTTTATACTTTGGGCGCTAAATTATTTACTACGTAATCTCATAATTTTACATATACATACTCTATATAAGTTTCTTCTAATAATTTGTAAATAATAATCTAAACTGCATTTTTAAATAATTTATATCTGTCTACATGTGCATTTATATGAATTGTAGTAAATAATATTTAAATAATAAAAAACATGAGATAATAATAATAATATAATGTACATACTCTGATGACAGTCAATGGTTGTGGAAAATCGCTTCCACCCGCCAATCGAAATCCCCATGGTGTGTTATCGAATTTTGTGAATTTTATGCTGATAGCCATATTGTTCTACATCTGAAATTCATGTGTCTGTAATCATTTTGGATTGGAACGTTTAAAGTGATACCTCCTTCATTAGCTTTGATGAAATTAATTCCGAAAGTTCCGATTTCCAATGAAACAATTATATGATAAAATAAAATAAAACAAATAAAAATATATAATAAAACAAGAAAAAAAAAATGAAAATTTTATTTGAATTTGAATTTTGCGGAATTATTTCACGATTAAATATAAATCTACATTTGCATTCGAGTTTTAAAAGATCTTGATAAAAAAATTCAATCATCAATTTATTTCGATCATTATTTAATTATTGAATTAAAAAAAAAGAATTACTTAAATTTATCAGTTTTGATATATTTCTTTTTAAAATAATTAATTAAAGAAAGGAATCAATTATGTGAACACAACAAAATATATAAGTTTTTATAAATTTTAGTCTCGTTACATAATGCTGATTTTAAAAAGACACAAAACAAAAGATTCGATATTCTTAACATTTATAATATTCTTTATATATTTTATTATTGATTTTTGGACATTTATCGGTGGTTCAAATTAAACGTTTGCTTTTTGACGATTAAAAAAAATAAGTAAAAATAAAAATGCAACTTCGGAACGTAACGAATAACCGAAAGGAATTCGTACCATGTACGCGGAAGTGATCGCATAGCGAAACGAATATAGTCTAGTCGATGCGAGAATTTACTCAATGATTCGTGAGTTACTTGCCAGTATGTTGCGCGAAGAATAGTCACAGAATTTGAAATGTTATATCACGATGCACAGGAAATTGTACATCGAGAAAAATTATATCGGTGAATTCATGGATCAGAAGCGCGCGGTCATCAACCGAACCGGTCGATACCGTGGTAGCACCGATCGACGAACTCCACTAACTCTTCAACACGCACAAAACGGTGTCACGATAATGTTTGCCAGAAGGCAATCGTAGCTACCGACTTGAACGCCACAAATACACGGCCTCTTCTCCCCTCATCCTCCCGTCCCCTGCTCCCCTCATTATCCAATCGTAAAACAGTAGGAAGAATGCTAGATCTATTTACTGATCGATTTATTTAGATTCGGGTCCTCGATTTCCTCGTCATCACATATGAAGTATTTCGTTCTCATCGTTACTCTTTCGTAAAGTAACGATATCCACATCTTTTCTCTGCGACAAAGAATAATTTTTTATCGTAATTTCGCGCTAAAATCATATAAATCGATTTAAAAATCGTATGCGCTTCTGCCATCTAGGAACACATTAATGCTTAAATTCAGTTCTTTGAATCGAAAAGCGCGCGAAACTTTACGCGGAAAAAGGAAAAAAGAAAAATTAAAAATAAATATTTATAAATATTGTAATATGTTCTGTGATATGTGATTAATTTGTGTTTATGTTTAAAATACGCAGATACAACGAATACACATAATTTACAGTGAATACGTGTATTAAATATTTTAATTTATTTTAAATTTTTACTTTGTACATTATCAAAGTTTGATAAAAATATGAATATGTAGAAAATATTTTTAGAATATAAATTTTATTCTTATTGATGTATTCTTACTTGATCGTTCGAAGTCTATCTTTTGACTGAAAGTCGAAATGTGGAAATAAGACATAGGTACGTCCCTACCGCTATATGTTTACATATATATATATATATATATATATATATATATATATATATAT